TGTCCAGAGAATGAGCTGTTCATGGAAATTTTAGGTGACTTTTTAATAACAAATTATGCAACTAAAATGTAATTTAGAACAACACGTGGGATTTTACCACGGCACTCCTGCCACCCTAACCACTGCAGCAGACTAACGGTAACTGTGCTTAAAGTGTTCTTATTACTGTATGGGAGAAGTGAAAAGGGTCTTTCTAGTTCCAGTTTCACAGTCATTTATAAATGCAGAATTAATTTGTTTGATACATTTAATTAGCTGATGTATGAACTTCAGTTTCTAACAAAATAGGATAGTAAGTGAGACTTTATGGGCTGAAAATTTTTTTCCACCTTTTTGCAATGAAAAAAATGATAGTAAAACATGTATACAGTTTTTGTATATTAAAGTGTTATGAAAAATTTATTTTAATCTCATGTATCATATAAAGTTCATCAAATGTAGTCACCTGTTTCAGCCGCCTCTACGTCTTGATAGTAAAACATAACATGTCGGAGTCCCCCAATACCAAAAAAGCGATCAATTCGCTCGATCTGCCACACATTGAAATGAATACAATAAGTAATTTTTTTTTCATATTTTGAATATTATGTATCTAATAATTATAATCTTTATATAATATAATCTACTTAAAAAAACAAAAACATACCATTTTATACTGCGCTCACTATATTCTTACCTTATCCATATCCCTAAAAACAGTTCTTAGGACACAGAAATATTTGGAATATGTGCAATTTACTACTACCAAGATTATAGGTAGATTAATACTGAAGCACTCAACGTGAAATATATATCAGAACGCATATGTCCTTAGCCTTACCACTATTGATAATTTAATAGATCACATAACTTAATATGATGTATAGTAAAGTATGGAATACAGAAAAATAATGCCATCAATGGTTTCAACATGTAAACCAAAGTTGTTGTTATTATTAATATTATTATCATTTATATAGTGACAACATTGTCACAGCTGTTTTACAATGTTTGATGGGGAGATACACAACAAATAAGAGGCAACATAAATGTCATTTTTATATGACAAATGTGACATGACAAATGCTTGATGTTATATATCTTTTATGTTTACAATGTTTGAGATAGGTCTATGGTCAGACAGACAACTCAGTCTCTCACACACAGAGTGCCAAACGCATATATAATTACAAATACACATTTGGTAATTTGTAAAGGTGGCAATGAGGAAATGAAAGATCCTGTCAGATTAAATAAAAAATACAAGATAGATAGATAGATAGATAGATAGATATACATTTACACACTAAGTATTACAGACACTATTTGGCTTTTTAACCAATCTTTTTTTAATTGTTATCCTATGTTCTCCAGTTAGTCTCTTATCTGCAATGTGACATTTTAGCATTAAGAATCAAGTTAGCGTGGGTTATTTTAATATAATCCTGTTTATAAATTTTTGGGATTGTTTGTTTTAACAAGGATGTTTTTTTGTTGTCTCATTTTCAGTATTGCTATCCTTCAAATTGTCTGGAATGAAAGCGACTGCCTCGATCTGGGGTTTTTGTATATTGTGCACAGACCCACGACGTGACTCCTCTGCTTGGTGTCCAGGGAAGAAGAGTTTTACTTATCTGAACCTGTCCCTCACAGACATCACCATGGTCTTCCTGACAGTCCTCTTTAGCTCCAGGTGCTTTATCTGCCAGGAGTCGATGTTAGTGTTGTACTCTCAAGCATGCGCATTACCATTTTTCCTACAGCAGTCCCAAGTGACCACTGTGAAAAATTACAAAATGTAATGGTGCTAGCTCAGTCTTTTGTCAAGTTTTGTCAAGCAAAAACTGCCTCCTTAGGAAAACACTGGGAGACTATTGCACATGTGCAGCATAGTTGTGCTGCACCAATCAGCATCTCCTTATTGAGATGCATTGAATCAATGTATCCTTAAGTAGAGTGTTAAGCATCTCTATGTAGAGCGTAGAGACATGAATGTCAGTGCTGCACATTGTGCAGCACTGACCCACGAAGCACCTCTAGTGGCCGTCTGAGTGACAGACACTAAAGATGTTGCTAGGAAACAATGTAAACACTGCCTTTTCTCTGTCTGTGGGAACTCACTATAGACACTAGAACCACTAAGCTGTAGTTGTTCTGGTGACTATAGTGTCCCTTTAAGACAAAGAAATCCTTACTTTGTCTTAGTATTTGGATTGCAATGTAATTTCAGTGAAATGGGAGGGGACAGAGCTGATTTAATAAATCACACATGATTACTATATTTGTATGAAAAATTAACCACCAACCTGATTACCCTCCAAAATCGCATCTTCCACCTCTGACTTTTCCAAATCCAAGCAGGATGCGACAATCCCAAGGACATAGTCATGTCTACCATCTAACTGTGCCCTCTTGGCTTCTTTTTCTTCTTTTAATTTTTGCTAAAATAGGAAAAAATGTATTTAGCAAAAATCTTCTAGTTTTATTAAAAATAAGTACAATTGATTAAGCATATATAAAAATTTGAAAAACATTCACAGGGTTATTTACTATAGTTAGACTTGTGAAGAATTAAAAGTGACTTTAACATTTTAGACCAAAACAGCCTAAATTTCAGCACATGATAAACAAATACAATAATCAGTGCTCCAGGACCCAGATAAGTGCATTAAAACAGAGTTTATTGTAAAAAATAAAAATAAAAAAAATCACCAAAGAGAAAAACACCATGCACAATAAATATTTATATAATTTTAAAATAAACAAGTAATGAACATATTACATTAATGAAAAAGAAAAAGAAAAAAAGAAGAAAAGAAAAAGGGGGGGACGGGATCCATCAGTTTTGTTGATAATAAAAATAAGTATGTAGTCTGTACAATATATAACAGAACTGCATGAATTATTACAACAGATACCTTATAATACCATCTCTACGGGGTGTGCCAATGATTTCTAATATTTACAAATTGGAATTTGAGAATGGTCAACAGAATGAGTTCTGGACCAACCATCAAACCTCTTGCTGAAAGGATAATGAGTTTGTATTCCATCCAGAATGAAAGTGGCATCTCCACCAACTGTCAGTCAACTGGTAGCAAACAATTTAAACAAAAGGTTTTATATAGGATTCATGGTTACCTAAGTTACTACACATTAACAAAAATAAATATATATTAAACCATTTATATCATGAATCATAATATTAAACCATATGCATTATGCAATTAAAAAACATATACAACTGTGTGTAGATCAACTTTTCTTAAGGAGTATTTTCAATAGGATTGTACTTAGCCAGTGTAAAAAGGCGAGGTGGAATACCTAAATAACATTGATTGATTATTTATTAGCCCATTGGGTGGTTTGCGCTGAGGTAATAAGTGAAATACCACCATAATTACAATATATCTTCCCATTACTTTATTGCTTGAAAAGGGAACCTGCTATTCTAATAGTGACTTTAGCTCTTTTAAAAGACCTTCAGATTCTAACTATACATTGTGCTAGCTGCTTTGGGTACAAAGGAGTGGAGGCCGAGGTTTCTAGTTATGCCTCTGATATATACACACACACACACATATATACACACACACACACACACACACACACACATACAAAATATATATAAGCTCAATAATAAGTCATAACGATCTCAAATAAATAGAAAAGCAAATCTAAATTGCACAATTTACATGAAACAGTATTTTTTTTTTTTTCTTATCTTACTTGTTAACAATGCCATTTCTTTATTTGGTCTTTCAAGATAGTTGTGCTAGCCATAATTAACTCCTCCTTTCACAAGTCTGGACATGAAAAATAACCAAGCTTACTTCTTGAATACCTTTTGGCTTTTCATCTTGACAAATGATTCCTATCTGGGTGTTTTATTGACTTAAACAAGCTGTAGTAGTAGCTCATAGTTACTGCACAACAAATAAAGGCAAACAATCTAAGGTGATTAACAATCTATTTAGTTTGCAGTATTTATATTGACCCTACACCTATAATTTTATCAGTAACCCATTAAAATCAATTTTAAAACAATAATTATTCTATAAAAAAAACAATAGAAACATTAGACAGCCGATCGCAAAAGACTCTTCAGGGAAATAAAAATAATTAATCTGGAAACAAAAAATGTTAAATTCCTGACATTTAAATGGGGACATTGAGATTGTATTACTGTCTGTGATTACTGGTAATGATATGACCCAGGTACTTAACTATACATATTTTTCAATATTCAACGAATAAGAGATGTCTAAAAGATTAAAAACCAAAGGTTATTTTAAGTGTGTTCTTCATATTAGAGTGCAATTCAAATGACAGAGCCATCCAAATACCTGTAAAACATGGAAATGGGCTCTTACAGCACACTTAACCAATTTAGCTATTTGCAGTGGGATTGGTACAGTGATTCTGTCCCTGAAATATACCACAAATTAATTGTCCTCTTATATAGCATTCAAAAAATCATTGAAAACTCACTTCTTCAGGAAAGCATATTAGTTAAACTGTAAGCAGGTTTTTATCCCCCACCCCCATGACTCCTCTCCTGCAACTGTCAAAAATTACCTACTAAGCCCTCAATGAATACTTTTCTAACAACCTTCTTCGTACCCCTACTTTTACCCTTTGTGTCACTATACCCCACTCCCTCTAGAATGTAAGCTCATTGAGCAGGGCCCTCCACCTCTCTGTTCCTGTACGTCCAATTGTCTGGTTAAAATTACATGTCTGTTAGTCCACCCAATGTACAGCGCTACGGAATGTGATGGCGCTATATATATAATAAAATAATAATAATAATTAGTTTACCGAAAAACTTTGTGCTGGTTCAGGGTGACATTGTTCTTTGAACAAATGTCTTGGTTTTCTAAAGGTTACTTTGTCAAAATTGAAGTGTGTATGAAGTTTTCGATTACATATTATTATTCAATATTGGTTATTGTAAAATAGTAGCACATTAAAAAAAAAATTATATCATAATCAAAGCTGAAGAAGTAATCACCATAGGGGGTCTAAATTGTAGTTTTGATTAGGAGAGAAAGGAGATGGGGCACTGACTCCAGCCTGGTTTATAAGCTATAGGGAAGTAATTTTGTTCATAATTGAACCACTGACAAGAGGAAGAACTAATCTGTCTTTATAGAGGGGTAGTGCTTTTACATTCTTTATGTTTAAATTTCATTTTGACATGCCTTTACCTATGCTTGGTAGCCCACAGTGGGCAGATGACTCACAGTCACAGGCAACTCTATGACAAAGATTTTCATTGCAGCATATGTTATTTTAACAAATCTATGCTGCAGGACAGACAACTTATTTATCTATTATTGTCCAGATTTTACATATTACATTTTTTTTTTGTGGTAACATTATAGCAGTGTCATTTTTACTTGTCACCATTTTAAAGCAAATTTTATGAGTGGAGGCAATGGTGGAAACCAATAAAATATGTCAAGATTCCTTGCTTTAATCCATATGATTTCATTAATTTATGTTTCATTCTGATGACTTATTGTTGCAGTATTTCATATTACAGCCAGAGTCTCTGTGTAGACTCTATCAGATAGGCTAATAAAGGGTTAATGCTCACACTATGGCAGTGGTTTTTAACCATTGTATCCTGGTACTCAGAAGTGCCTCAAGTCACCTCAAAGTGTGCCATTGACTTCAGGGCTATAATTGGTTGCAGTTCTTAAAATATGTTGTTGGGTTTTTTTTTTGGGGGGGGGGGGTTTGCCACCATTAAAACTGGGATTTTATCTATATAATTAATTATAACTATATATTATTAAAATTAAAAAGTACATTTGGCTAGATATATGTACATGTCTGTAGTAAGACTTCAAATAATTGTGACATATACAGTGCTAATGAAGGTAACAAGAAAAAAAACTTTAAAACAAATAGTAGGTATGCCTTGGGAATTCTTCTATCACTGAAGTATGCAGTGTCAATTTGTCCACCTGTATATATTAATGTCAACAGATATATATATATACTCAATATAATTGCAGTATCAATACTCAATATAAACAGCATTAGTGTGCATTGGCAAATTATTTCATCTACAAGATCCAATTCCAGACTTCAAAACAAATATTGATCATGCAAAACATGGGATCTGATTTGCCCAAAAAGTGCAAAAACTTAAATAGTAATAAACACAGCTGGCTGTTATTCAAAATGTACTTACAATGAATGACTAACAAACAAGACAGTTAAACATTATTTCTGTTTACAAAAAAAGGAAGAAAGAAACTTTACCTTTAAAACTCTTGTAACACTTTGTTTCCAAAGTTGCCTTCTACCAGACCTAAACATCTTGAGGAGCAATTGAGGAGTTTCAACAGCGCAAATAAAAATTACTGTCCGTTTACAGCAGCCAGGAAGAACAAACTATGTTCATCATTAAAAGTTAATTTGAAAAGAATTAGACACTTGTCCTGGGAATTGTGTCTGCGGCCGGGCATCAATTAACTAGCCTGCTTCCTACTCTTCGTAAGAATGTACCATGCTTTTCATAAGACTGAGGATAGCCCTCAGTTACAAATGATGCAGAAGCAGGCAATGCTGAAATGTTCTGCTCCACTGAATTCCTGTCCCTAAGAGATACTGTACTTATGCCAAAATGATTTAGTGTTGTTAAGGCACGCTGTTTATATGCTGTTTACCAAGCATGGAAATTACTTAAGCTTCTTAACTCAAGTCTAGTATCACAATAAACTGTATGTTATCTCTACTTATATAAAGTCCAACCCTCAAAAAACAAATAAAGGGTTAGTTTACACTGATTCAGTACAACAGAGCTAAGGAAGCTGATTTCTAACCACTAAACTGAAGAATGAAACATTGCTGAAAGACTTATTCTAATTATATGATTGCTTAATATATTTATACAAAAAAATAAATAAATAAAAGGTGCATAGCTCATAACTTTCTGCTAAAAACTACAATTCCTGGCTGTGAGAACGTTAATGAAAAAGAATGTACCTAGTTAATTGACTAGGGTCAAAGTTGCTGCACACACCGCTATCAGTCGCGAGGGCATCAGTAATGGGCGCTCTAGAGCGTGAAAAAACGCAATACATAAGGCGTCCTGAGGTGATCTTTGGCTCCAGAAGAAAGAAGAAAAGTTTAAAGTAGAGCTGTTTTTCCCTGCCCTCCCTCCCTATAAGTTCAATATGTTGTGGTCTTTTATTGGAGTTGCGGTCACCTGCCTAATTTAAAGGGGAGGGGGGTGGACTAGCTGAGTTTCGTTATCATTTTGTTTAATTTCTGCCTAATAAAACGGAACTCTGTTGTGTTATGTGTTAAATCTCTGGGGGTTTAAAGACCGGAGATGTTTGGTTACAAATTACATGTTTTAAAGTAAATAAGTTACGTTTGTAATATTTTGTAAACTAAATAAAAGACGAGGGCCTTTTCAGCACCCATTTGACTCTGTGTTTTTATTATTAGATTTTCTGTGCCTTACTATGGTTTGTATTATGTTGTTTTTATTATGTGTTGATCTGAATTAACTCCTGCTGAGCACAAGCGTAACACTGCTTGCATTAGATTATAACACTTCACAGTGGCACATTCATATTTTTTATAAAATTTCAATACAAACGTATTAGATAAGAATTTCTAGTGCTAATTGAGTCAATTGACAATAGTGGTTGTTCGTGAAGGCACAAAATGGCAAATGATCCCTTGATTTCAGAAATGGAAAAGTAGCACCAAATGCTGAGACAGACCAAAAATGGTATATTACAGCAGTGTGGTATATATATTACATAGATTATATGTATATATTATAAAGGTATTTATAACAGTGTAGCAGACAAATATATAGGTTTAGGATGGTATCACAGATAAATTGGTAAAGGATTAAAAGGAACACTCCAGTTACCATAATTGCAACAGCCCACTGTAGTGATTTTGGTGCCAGGTGCTAGAAATGTCTTGGCACTCTCCAATGTAATTCCGTAGCTCTCAACTGTCCCACATTTAGCAGAACAGAACTGATTTGGAGCTTGGTTGTTCTCGGTTATCCTGCTTTTGTGGACACCACGGAACTGTCCCCAGAAACCATAGTGCAAACTTGTGACACACTCAGACTCTGCTAAGAGCACTAAGCCCATGCTCAGGTTTTAATAAAAATGCACTGAACATGCTCAGCCCTTATTGGGGCCAGTAAGCCTGTCATGCATTTACAGTGGCTGACATGACCCTTTCTTTTTTAGAAGGGTATGCCCCCTTTACCAAATCGGTCTGTCCCTTTGGACAGTGTCAGCAACTCAGGTCACGTCATTGGTCTGCTCCCTTTAGCCCTACCCACCCTGTCCCAATTTCATACTTCCTTGTGTTGTTATACCTGTACTCGAATCGCAGTCTGTTGGAAGTTTTCCTGCCTTTTCTGAGTCTACCTTGAAAATACATTCTAACACCAATTACCCATAATGCCTCCCCAAACCAAACCACCAATCCTACATAAACCCTAACTTTACTTTATATATCACTTTCTATTATTTCTAGTATTCAAATGACCCTATGCTTATATTAGCACAGCATCATTATAGCATCCTGACATACTGTTCCATAGAATGGCCTTTGATCCTCTGTTCTATTGTTTTTACATCAGGATTTATTCTTTTTGATTATTCATTATAACATGAAAAAATCTTGCTGCAGTTTTCTATTACTTGGAGAGCATCACATTCTACACCCATTAAGAAAATATGAGAGCATCACAGCAGGTTCCACCGGTTCCCAGTATTTTGGTAATTCAACAGAACTGTGTGTAACACAAAATGGACAAATGATTTGATGGGTGCACTTGCAAATGGCAGTATAAATAAAGCATATTCAGTTAGGTCATATTATTAACTATTTATACTGCATAATCCACTTTATGCATTTTGTACCTGTTCATAAGATGAGTAGCTCACTGAATCTGTCCCTTTCATACTGCCTACTCTAAGTGTATCTGATGAATCATTCCAGGGAGTTATCTAAATGGGATTGGGTGTATACAACCATTTCAGCTAAGGTAGTCTGTTTTTTTTGTATACCGTCTCCCTGGAGCCAGAGCCAGAACCAGATTAAAATTGCCCGTGGCCCTAGGCAGGGTGATAGACTGACGCCCACTCTTGTAAGGAATAACCGGAGAGGTGTACATGGGGAGCTCTGTGTGCTGGTTGAATGTTGTGTGTGGTGGCTGAATTTTGTGTATGTGTGTGTATGTGTGTGTGAGCATTTGTAAGTTTTTAATTTGCCGCTTTCCCAGTTACCTCTGAGTCATCAAGAAGTGCCAGAGGACTGAAGGGCAGTTTTTAAAGTGGTGTGCACCAAATATTGGTGCAGACCAGAACACTCCCTTATTAAAGTGAGGGGGCTCACTGCCAAGCAGAGAGATCTTTTGATTTCACTACTGGTTCAAGGAGGACCTTCTTCAAAGCCAGAAACTAAGGGCCCAGACAGCCACATAGGTTGTCTAATAGATAATCCGATCTTGCCTGGAGCCCGCTACTTACACACACACATACATTATATATATATATATATATATATATATATATATATATATATATATATGTTTGAAGGCACTCACTGAACTCCCACTCCCATTTCCAAAATGTGCACATAAATCCTTCAATGCCTTAATGTTGCAGCCACATAGGAACCCTTATATAATCTTCAAATATATCCCAAAAAAAAGTGGGCACTCACAGGTCTTGTTTGGTAAAACATGCCAAAGTCTTTTATTTATGTACCATCAATGTTTCGGGCCTTTCCCTGGTCCTTTCTCAAGACCCTGACATAATGTTAATGAATAATTAACAAAATTTAAAATGTAAGAAATTAAGATATTTTGTTATTTTCTTAGTTCTGTGTGGCATTTTAACTGTGAATATTATGATACGGTTAGCGTTTTCTTAACAGAAATATGTGTATTTTATTGCAGTAATCTCTCACGAGTACAAAAGTAACCCCCATGTACAGGTTTTATGCAGTTTTGGAAATTTACAGTGTCAAATATAGCATGTTCTATTTTTCAGTTTATACCCCCTGAAATTTGCCTGATTGGTTATGCTGCCTTTGAGACCATATGGAAGCCCAGGAATAAAATTTACCCCATCATGGCATAACATTTAAAAAATAGACAACCAAGGGTATTCAAAATGGGGTATGTCCAAGCTTTTCTAGTAGCCACTTGGTCACAAACACTGGCCAAAGTT